ATCACAGTCTGGGACAGTAACAAGGTATAATAGATCACAGTCTGGTACAGTAACAAGGTATAATAGATCACAGTCTGGTACAGTAACAAGAATCAAGGAGACGCACCGTGCATAAAGTACAGTTTATTATCGTTAAAAACCTTTTTTTCGTGAATAACTGAGTTTTATGCACAGCGTCTTGTCTTGATTACTTTGTGTGTGACTACTAGGGCAAAACTCGCAAGTCGGCAATTTCAATAGCCCTATCAATTTGCATTTTGAGTCGAGGTTAATTAGTCTTAATTTGAAAAAGAGGGAAATTGTGAAGACTATTGTAATAAAGACATTTTTTCGCGCCTTTTGAGTTTGATAAGGTCTTTGTGCAAGAGAATAAAAGCGGTTATTTTAGATCTTTACATATTTGTGATGCAAACAATATAATTAGGATTTTTTTTACAATTTAATCATCATTCTTGCAATAGCAGGAGTATAACTTTAGTTATTTTCTCTAGTTATATTCTCGATCTAAGTTCTTGCTAAAGAATAATCAGAAATCAAAAGCTTCGTATCTAACATTCATCCAGCAGGGAGCGTGCTACTTATGTGAAATGATGAAGTTCATGAGATTCGCTGCCTATTCTTCTTTCCCATTTCCATCTATTTACCTTGATGACAATTTTATAAAATCTTACTGGTCATTATATTTAGGGCTATCATACAATCGCTGATGCACTGAATGCCATGTCCAATATATTGTTACGTCGACATAGAGTTGATGACTTAATTGAAACTACTAATTACCCAATACCACCAAAGAAAAAGGTAACTTTAAAACATTTTAACTTTTTTTAGCCACATTGTTTTTTATTTACCAGCATGCTTGGACGTGCACATTTGCCTGTTCGTCTAATAATATATACATTGCTCTCCATGGGTTGACTTTACGCTATTCCTTTTAATACCTACAAATCATTGCCAAAATACCTTGGACCATAGAAGAAATTGTCTTCAGCCAACTTTTTTCTACTATTACTTTATTTCACACAATTGTCCACCTAGGCCCCTTTTTATCAATGTTGGGTCGTGTTTTGGATGTTTTAGTAACTATGGTAACATGCTCAATGTCAAAGAGGCGAGAGGGTATGAAATTGTCTGCTGGTGTTGCTTAAAGTAAGGAAATTCATTTGCCCAAGCATTTTGGCAACGATTGTAGAATCAGCATGCCTACGCGGCCAGAAGCACCATGCCGACTGGACTCCTTAGCTATGACTGATATTTCCTTATCTATGGTGTTACACTCTCGGCAGCTTTCGAGGTACTCGCCTAAAAAGCTTGCAGGGAATCTAGATTTAGATTTACAGGAATTTCACAGCAAACTTATACACCACTTATACACCACTTAGAAAAATGATGTTTAATTTTGATATAATCAAATKTTATTAGGCAAGTGACGAGGATGGGGACGAAGTTGGTTTACAGAGTTACCTGGCAATCTTTCTARCAATGGGTATGGGCTTCATGGCAGCAAGTTTCATAATATTTCTAGTCCAAGAACGTTCTTCTAAGGTAAGCTATACGAACTTTTAGTTTCACTGGCAACCTTACAGGTCTCAAATCATAAAGTGGTAGCTTCCATACCCGTAGTGTTGCTTGTTACCTTAAAATCAAATGATGTACGAAGGGTGAATCCTTATTTAGCGGATGGAATCCATACAAACGCTATGGTGTATATACCTTTATCAATATTTATCTACTGGTACAACCGAGCAAGTTTAATGTAAGCTTTAGGTTGTAGGGCTTATTTCACTACGGTTCCAATTTTGATATCAGTAATGTGTATCAGTCTAATATAACCATAGTTGATATAACTTATCAAATCATTAACTGCTGTTCATAATCTATTCACAGGCAAAACATTTGCAGTTCGTGAGTGGTGTTCATTCAATATGTTACTGGTTGGCGACCTATACTTGGGATTACATCAATTATTTGATTTCTACCATTTTTGTTCTAATACTCATCGCTGCTTTTCAAGTCGAAGTTGATCTCGGAACTGTGCTCTTGCTGTTGGTAAGTGCATATGTAAGCATACTGATTTACCTGATAAAGACGACCAGAAGAATGGCGTCGAAACGACGTTGTAATAATACTGAAACCAAAAACATTGTGTCGGATAGCTCAAGTACAAAATAAACTTATGCCATATGGCTAAAAGCAGGCGGATTTCAGACCAAAAATACTGATTTATGTTTGATGTTGATAATATTGCTCTTGACGTCACTATGTTGTGATCACGTGCGTTAATCTTTTCAGCTTTTGTTTGGATTGTGCGTCCTACCGTTTATCTACTGCCTGTCGTTCGTATTCACGTCACCACTCATTGCATATGCGTTAACAGTATTTATCTTGTCCATCTTGAGCTTGGTAAGTCAAGTGGCCTATATTCTGGATTCTCAAGGAACGTGCACTTCAAGACAAACTTGATTTTTCTTCAAGACAGCGACTGCGCAGTGACCATTCACATATGGTGGTAGCCTGTATGCAGGTGTTCCTAGTTGGGAGCGAATTCCGTTTTTTCGCTCCGCCCCCAACTAGGAACGCCCGCACGCAGGCTAATATGGGGGCACCTGATTGTGGAATGCTAGCTCACGGGAATTCACGGAAACAACTTACTAAATAGAATTCTAAGAAAGATTTGAAGACAGCCATTATTAGTCTTATCTTATTATCTTATTATATTATATCATTAATATCTTTTTTTTTTTTGTAATATGCAAACATTCTGTGCACTGACATATATATATTATATAGTCTGGTGCATCATAGGTAAAATCTTGTGATTTTCGCTAATAAATCTCTTTGCATCTCTAGGTATCTCTAAGTATGCATTTCTAGGGTTACTCAAAGAGTATTCTGCAGTTGTATTTTGATCGAGGTCGGAGCTATCCCGGCATTATTGAATCAAAGAGTACTTTATGTAACACCAGAAGGAAAAGGAGCTTGTTCTCTTTGTATTACTTACAAAACATATGATATGTTGAAGRACGACTGGCGTTAATTTGGCTGATATTTTTTTGTGTTGTTTAGGGAATGCTGATCATCGTGTTTGTATATCGGTTAATGGGAAAAGACTACATAGAGGATGCAAACATCATGCATCATGTTTTCATGCTATTCCCCACCTATACGTAAGCTATTATTATACACCAATTTCAGAAAACGCTTAATACTGTATACTGCATGGTGCATTCCAAGACTGAAATGCATTGCTGCCTTTAAACGTATTTGTTGTTTTTAATTGCCATATTTCATTATGACATCACAGGTGTTTATATCGCTGAAACGTGCTAAAAAAAGAGGAAATTTAGAGTAATTTTCTCTCCAAAAGTAGAACTTCAATGCAGTACCCTGTTTTGATATATATCATGTACATTTTAATTCTTAGAGCTAAAACATAAGAATGTTTTGGTGTGGCGTAATAATGAAATAGGGCATTTGGCTGTCACCTAAACATTTAAAAATCCAATTGAGCTTTAAGACTTAGATCCGTGTGTTAAGCATTTTTAGGGAAATATTTCTCCTCATGCCTGAACTTAGGGGTGATCCATTAGACTTTGGAGTGTGTGTGTGTGTGGGGGGGGGGGGGGGGGGGGGGAGAGGATGGAAGACTTTGAAAAAATTTCTCGAACGGCCCGAAGGGCCTAAAAAATTTCCTGCAAGGCAAAATTTTGAAAAATCTCAACTATAGCTTTTGTAAATTTACAACAAAAATTGCAAGCGCGCGCCTGAAGTCGCAAAAAAAAGTTCTTGCACCAACTAGATCTTCCATCCCCCCTCAAAAGTCCAATGGATCGCCCCTTAGTATGTGACATCTCTACAGTGGATTAGTGTTATGACGTGTAAAAATGAACGTTTTTATTTTTTTCTCAGAATGTCAATTGGTTTTCATGACATGTCCTCCAACTACAAACGCAGAAAGGCTTGCGAAATTTCCCCTGAGTAAGTGGTYTATTTTACTTCTTTTGTTATTGCCTGGTTCTGTATTGGTCACAGCTCCTTTTCACKCTGAATACTGAATATTATTAAGTACCTGCCCGGAGACAAGCTGAATTCTTTCCGCTGGAAGTTGATGCATTACTGATAGACTAGTTTGCTGAGACTTGTTGTTTTTGTAGTAAAAAATGATAAATCTTCTCGTAATCCTTTTCGTATTCAAACTATATGCCCAAAAGAATATATTTAGTTATATTGTATTTTATATTTTGCTTTACTTTGTTCAAGAGAAAATCGTACCGTGTGAGTGGCTCTAAATTTTACAGCAGTGTTTATTCTTATTCTTATTTCAGGGCTATTCGATCTTGTAAGTCTAGAAACATCACGTACAMGGAAAATCTGCTAGATTGGGACATGCCTGGTGTTGGACAAGAAGTTCTMTTCATGCTTCTTGAAGCAATTGTACTTTGTATTTTCACAATTTTAATCCAGGTAAAGTATTTGATTACTTTAATTGGCATTGGCAATAATTGCAACTTACCGTATGTGAGTATATTGCGCACTCAGACAATCTA